CTACCTCACCGATAATAGGAGAACAGGATGATCACCGTGTAGTTCGCCATAGCTCACCGCCACTGGGCCACTGTGCACTGTGCAGGAAGATTTTCAGATGCGTTTGCAGCTGCTTGATGTCAATGGTGCCACCATGGACCACTTGCTGGGCTTTGAGTGTGAGTGAGCTGAGGGCCCAGCCGAAGCCGTAGGAATAGTACTGAGACCTGCAAAGATGCCACAGCAGCTGCAGCTGCTCTGCAAAGTCGAAGTCAGGGGTGTGGACTCTCGAGAGGCCAGTCGCAGCAGAATTTCAAACCTGGAGAGGTTTGACTTGTTCAGAATCGGGCATTCAACAAACGATGAGGCCGTGTCTCGTCCCAGCGCTCAGCAGCCTTCGTAATGCCCAGGGTGTCCCGCAGCCTGTCGAGTAGCGGAAGTTGACCCTGGCTTGGCTTGAGCGGTCTCAGAGCCAGGCCCTGATACCGTGTGTGCGTCGAGTTGGCACTTCTCTGCTCGGAGCCTAGGCTCGCACCCTCTGGCTGCATTGCACACCACAGACCAAAGCTGAAGTTCGATTCCGAATCCTTTTTTGGTTCGGTGCCCTTCGCTGCAATTGGGGCTAGAACTGCGCAAGCTCCTGCGAGAATCGAAGCAGCACCTGAGGCTGCAGTCAGTGTCAGTCTGCATGCGGCCACGTGCGGCCACTATGCAACTGCAGACACTGCAGACCAGAAGCAAATCCGACCAGAACGGCCAAGCACACCAGCGAGAGGAACACGCCTGATTGCCGAAGTCGCAACACTCCGAAAACTCCGTTTTGGCTCTCCAAGGCCGGCGTGCCCGCAAGGAGTTTCAGCAAGCAGCGGCTCGCAGGGTCAGCTGGGAGCGCCGCCTTTGCAGCTTCTCACACACGAAGGGTCACAGAATGTCACAGAGCCGTGACGGTCAGCCTTCATTCTGAAGCGACAGCACAAGGGCAGTGCAAGCCCCAAAATGCACGTTGCCAGTATCTGCACCTCCATGCGGGCTACATGTCTGCGAAGAGCCTGGGACGTGCTGAATGGTACTTGTAGCGGCCTGCGGCATGCCATCTGGGGGATCATGGCCAGGCTGGTCAGGCTGAGGCTTTGGAAGTCCTGAACACACACTTCAGAGATGCAGCCGTGCAGCCATCCCAAGCAGCCTCCAACTTGTGTAGTCGAGTTTGAGATCGGGGTGATCAAGTTGACCTGACCGAGCGAGACCTCTCAAAGTGCATCCAGCGCTTACTCCAGTCTTTCCAGCCTCCCTGTCACTCAGGCGCAGCTGGCGAACAGTATTCTCATAGTAGCCTCGAACACAGGAAGTCACGCGCCGTACCGAATTGGCACGTCCATGCCTTCCCGGTTCGTTCCACCCGCAACATAGGCACATGTCTGTCCTGGACATCTCCAAGATGCAGCCAGCACTCAGCCGAACGCATCTGGCGCCGTGCCTTTGCTCTGCTCCGACATGTTACACGGCGCAGCCACAGTCGCAGCATCCGTTGTGCCCGACCTTGTCAAGAGCTGCAGTTTCGCTACTCGATCTGACCTGCCAGCACTGCCGGAGCAACAGTGATCCCACACGTCTCGATCTTCCATGGTATGGCCCAAGCGTCCAGGCAAGGAAGTCGGGACCAAACGACTGCCACAATTCCCCGTCACTGGAGAACCACGTTGCTACCTCAAGCTTCAGAAAGTCATCGAAGCAAAAAGCCACTGCCTCGACCTAACACTTCGGAGCGTTAGATCAGATGTGTCCGCAGTGCGAACCTCCTCGAGCGGACTTGGAGGCCTTGGCGCAGATGCTGCCATCGGGGCTGCTGGGGCTGACGGGCTCGCTATTGAAGCGCGGTTCTAAGGCACAGACAAAGGCCCAAAGTCATCATCCGGATACGCATAGCCACCAAAAAGCAGAACACCCTTGGCCGGTGGCTTGCTGCTTGACATTGAGCCATAGCGCCGTCTGAGGTGCGATCCGTCACTGCTCCAAGGCTGAGCGTCACCTCAGGCAGTCAACAAGGTTTTCTCCGTAGTCTCGTAGTCTCGTGTTTTCTCACGACCGCATGAATACCGTATGATGTAGCCTCGCCTGCACGAACCATCACGAACCCCATCAAGTCTTGCAAAAACAACTTCCACATTTTGCTTTACATCTCTGAGGGTTCAGGTGGATTCCCTCTCCACAGATGCACCAGCTGTGTCTGATAAATCTCCAACTCCAACACGACCAAACCCAATCCAAAAACCAAGATAAAAACTGAAACCCACTCGCCTCGTGCAGTACAGAAGGGCTAACTTCAATCCTGCTTTGAACAATCCGGTATTCGAGCGAACAAGTATCTACTTTACCTCGCAGTTTGCAGGTGGCAAATTTGAGTTATCGTAGCTTTCAGATGTCCGCCAGACCCCCAGCCAGAATCCGCTAGATCCTCCAGTACGGCAGACACACCAATCGATGCGGCTTCAGACTGGTTTCGATCCAATCGCCGTCTCCAATGGTCTCCCCCCCTGCCACCGACCAGCCCAGAGTCCACAAAGTGGAGTCACGCCCCTATGCAGCGTTCGCAAACAGTCCACGCACACACTACCGACCCCAGGCAGGTGAGGCCCAGCAATTGTCTCGACGCGAAGAAACGGACACCGGACACCCGATGATGCTCCTGAGGCGCTGCGCGTGTCCACTTCCCTCGCCTCGCCGCCTAGCACTGTCCTACGGAAGGAAAGGATGCTCTGCCAAGCGGGATGGAGAGTCAATAGAGAGCATGAGGTGAAGCAAAATGATACGTGGGCCACTGATGCTTTGCACTTGGTCTCCTTTAGCCCCTCTTCCACTCCACCTGGCCTCGCAAGATGGCATGTGCGAGACGTTAATGATTGTTAATCTGTGCCGCAGATACTAAAACTAGCTACGAGTAACTGAGTGGCGACATGTAGCGAGTATTAGCGAGTTGGAGAGGGATGGTTTTCCCCGGAGCAAGCCGTGAAGGGGCGGGCAAAGCACACCTCAAAACAAGCACCTCCTAAGTGTCTGCAGCTCCCATTGCCCCCTTTTCCGTAAGTCTGCTATACTGGTTGAAAGCATCCACAGCTGAATGAGAAGCCGACAGCTGAAGCACCAACCCGAGGTCCCCATGGAGCTCGCGACTGCACCTGCAGGGACGTGAAGCTTTAGCGAAAGTCAAAAGACTCTCTTGGGCGGCCTGAAACCACGTACGGAGATCCTTGCTGTGCCAAACATCAGCCAAAACCGCGCCAGCCTGCTGAATTCATACGCAAGCGCAACATGATGTGAAACTGGAAGAATGACCTCGTCACAACCACCCAATATCCAGACACCTTCGGGACACCCCGAAGAAGGGAACAGGGAGCGGCAAACCAACAGCCGAAACGTGCCAGCGGGACCATGCTGAAACGTCGTGGCAGCAGCAAAGTCTGAGCGGGGAGACCTCGCCCCACAGGTGCTCCGATATCCGTCTACATGGATTTACCGATTTCTGCGGGGGCCCTTGCCAGTCGGCAGATGCCGTTCTCCGTTGCCAGTTCAAGGCGGCACCTGCGGACAACCTTAGCGTCGTGGAGTCCAAGTGAGTGGAGTGCCAAGATGAGCTGCATGGGAGCTGCCGGCATCCAGGCATAGCGGACCGCTCTCTCGGATGCTAACTTGTATCTGCATCCTACTACCTGCGAGCTCCAGAAAAGCAGTCCATGCCGACATGTTGTCAAAGCCTAGGGGCTTCTTCACATCCTGCAGCTGCAGTGCCCAGACCTGTGCTGTCGCAGCAGTGACATGGACAGTGTACAGTTGCCTAAACCGTGCTTGCACAGCCCAACCATTTCTCAGAACATAGAAGGCCACCCTCGCACAGTTGCACAGTCCTGCCCTCAACACTAACCGAAAGACTGCTGGCCACAATCCAGAACGATCTCATTCTAGCAACGGTTCAGAAGCTCACACAAGCTAGCAGCCCTCTGAACTATGCCCCTGACATCGTTCTTGAGGAGTCCCTGCTGCGTCCGGCCGCCCAGAAGAACGATCGATTCCATGTTTGCCTGGAACTGACACGGACAATGCAACGGCCCATGCACTGCAGAGAGAGGAGTAGCAAAGTCCGGTTCAAGCAGTGGCGCAGATCTTGCAACCATGGCCTCGCTGTCCGGTGCGTGGCCAGAGTGCCAAGCCAGTGCCTTGAGACTCCAGACCCAGACTTGCTGTTCCCTTCGCTCCTTCGGGTGCCCCACCTGGAATGCCGCCCGTGGCTCCCACGGGGCAAGAGCGAGCTCGTGGAAGGAGAACGACGCCAGGTCAGACAGGTCGGCGTACCACACATCGTTGACCTGATTCAGCACTCCCAGAAAGGATGGATCTACGTCTATGTCTGCTAGGGCTGGAGCATACTCTCTTCCAAGGCTCTCCAGGCTTGAGTTGCTGGTGTCCTGAAACAAGGCCCGGCCGTGACGACTATGTGAAGAAACTGCCGGAGCCATGCCTTGGGAGTGACGACCCCACCGAAGACGAGCAAACATCGACCGTCTTGGACGGCAACTGCGCCGAAATACGCGCGGGGACCCCAAGGTGCCTGCTGCCTGGGAGCGAGTTTCACGCTGTCAGGCTGTCTGCTCCCACGATGCACTGCTTTCCCTGCAACAGACGAGGGGGCTGCTGCATCAAGGTCCAGCTGCTTCCTTCATCCGTGCTCCACCACACATCCCCCAGCCCTGCAGCGCGGCAAGGCTGGTTCGCTGCGTTGCGCCGAAGATCTAAGATTTCTGGGCCCGCTGCTGCTGTAGGGCAAGGAACGGAGAGGAGGCAGTTCACCACTCAGCTCGACCTTTCAGCTACAGAGACAGGCGAGAGGGCCGACGAGTGTAAAGACACGGCAGCTGCCGAGATCGACACGTGACGAGACAAGTAGGCTTCCACAACATCCAGCCTCAGCTACAGCACTTGCGAGTTGAACTGGGCTTCTGCATCTGAGTACCCGTCCTCGCTGTTGCATTCCGCCTCATTACACTCGAAGCAAGTTCGAAAGCAGTGGCTCACAAGAGCTCCCATGAATCCTGCCTCTTCGCGGGATGTTTTGCTTCCTGCGAGCCTTTTCCTTTGGCGAGCAAAAGTGACTACGTGCCAACCCCAGCGCAAGCTTTGGCAGTCCTTTTCCACTTCGCTTCTTGCCTTCCTTGTCATGCTTGGCCTCCTGCGACTGCCACTGGTTCAAGTCCGCCAGTCGAGGCGTTTTCAACCATTCTGAACAACCCAGTCCTGATCCTTGCTTGGCCTCGTCACAAGTGGCACTGTAAGTGTACAACATATCGAAGCTGGAGATCGGCCCATCGAGTGTCTGGGAATGCGGCGCAGAGGAGTTGGCAAATGGATCCACTCCAATACCACCCAACAACCACAAACGCGTCGCTTCCGATGCAGTTGCCTGCATGACGCTAAGACAAAAAGGGCGGCAAAGAAGGATCGAAGGAGCCGAGAACCTCCGAGCGCCGAGCCAGAAGTCGGTGTCCAGCTCGAGGTGCCCAGGCAGCGCCTTTTGTCCGGATCGTCTGCTGCCTGAATTCGAGCGATCTAAGGGCCTTGCTCCAAAACAAAGCCTCAGTTCCTCAAGTTCCTCAAGTTCCTCAGTCCTCAGGCTCCGTCACCCTCTCCTGCTCTGTCTGCGACAGCACGGATAACTTCTCGAAGAGGAAGGCACCCTCCGCACCTGCAGGAAGGTGGTCGGCGAGCTGCCCAAGACAGCCCGCACAGATCCGCACACCCACTTGCAGCCTTCATCTGTCGAAAGCTCAAAGGTACAAGACGAAGACAAGAAACAGCCTCAGACCGAAGACTCCTTGCAATCAGCAGCGTCTGTGTAGAGAATGCAATTGCCGAGTTGCGTTGATCGAAGCCCATCCCTCCAGGCTGCCAGTGCCAAAACGTGGCAGACCTTCTCAAGTCTCGAAGTCTCGAGGGCAAAAATATGGCCCACAGCATGGAACTCAAGTTCCGTGCCTGCAGGAGGGATGTGAAAGGCACTTCTGCAGACATGTCGTCAGAAGCGTGCCCTGAAGTCAAGAATTGGGCAAACGTACGAAGGTGCTGCTTCTCAAGGCCTGAAGATTTCCGAGGTCTCTCCGCCCTCTGCATCGCCGGTTCGCCCAGATAGACCTCATGCCAACTCAAGCTGGCATGAGCCTGCTGCATCCAACAGCAGTTGTGCGTTGCTTTTGCTCACTGCTGTAGTTTCTTTGAAAGAGATCACGTCAGGACGGCCAGGGTGCTGGCATATACTTGGCATATCAAGCAGTGGCAATCCACTCACAGATCAGCTTGGAAGCTGTGGCTTGGACCAGTTTGCAGCCGGAACAAAGTCCACATGGAATTGCTGTTCACCTTGACGCGATTCCGAGGTTCACACTCGAGAGGCCCGGAGAAACCCGGAGACATTGTCGTGCCTATCGGAAAGAGAAGAATTCCAGTTCGTCTCCTTGGGACAAGTAGGCAGAATGCCAGTGCGCCGGTGAGTTCACAATTGTAGGAAAGCAGATGTCACATCCAGGCAGGGATAGCATGGAGTCCGGGGCCAAATCTGGGCTGCACCAAGCACCTGCCCCCACGTGCCGGTCCACACTGGAAGAGCCTTGCCAGCTGCAAAAAGGAACATGGAACTGGCCGGATCTTCTTCACTGCCTTGAACGGGCTTCGCCACGTCGCCTGCGACTCCTCGAGCATGTCGCTCAGCTGTCGGACCTCGATCTGCTTAAGCAACGAACAGCCTGGAAGCGCATGCGGCTGCGCCGCATCGCCTCGCTGCACCAAGTGGAGCCGAGGGCTCCACCGCTCGCAGAGTCACGCCACTTGGCTCAGTGCCTCCCACATCCAAAACTGTCAAAAGCGCAAGTCCTTTTATCTCTTGCCGAAGAGCTATTTCCGCCTGCCGTGGTGGCCTTGCACTCTTGGAAACTCACGTATTGCAGCATGGGAAACCGTCTGAGTCAGGTTCCTCCATTTCAGCTTCCAGCAGCAGAGCAAGAGCCACTGCTTGGGGGCAGTGACCAAGCAGGAATGGCCTCTGTTCCTGGGAACATGTCCATGAGTGCCACAAGTGCATGGGACACGAATGATCTGTCTGTACTCTCCACCTTGCTGGCGAAGAAGTGGACGAGCTGACAGACCATGCAAAATGTGTCTGGCAACAGGATGAATCAACAGGGCAGCAGTTCATGCGCCTGGAGCACTTGCGCCGGCGCATCGGATACATTTGCTGGCAGGTTTTCTGCGGCCTTCCAGCACAGAAAGAAAAGATACGTGCGACTCAGTTTCACTTCATCGCTGTTGCAGTACGGGAGCAGGGTCAGGTTATCACTTGCCTCTAAAAGCAGGTCAGCAAGCGGAACACCGTCAGCTTCAATGCGGGAGCAGTCATCCTTTCCTGACACACCACGAGGGTTCAAGCCCAGCCTTCCTAGCATTCAGATGCATTGCATTGCATTGCATTTGCAGGTGACATGCAGGCTTCTCGGTCCTGGGTCTTTGCGGTCAGCCGGTCCTGTGTTGAAACCTCCTCCGTAAGACCCTGGGCCTGCTCCGAAGTAGTCATCATAGCCCCTTCCACCTGAAAAGCTTTAAGCAGCACAAGCACAAAAATCGAAAGCGTCAATGAGAGCCAAGCGCCGAAAGTCCCCAAACGCTCCGTAGCCGTACCTTGGGTTATGGAGTTTGTGCAACTGGGCCACGAGGAGCAGGGTGAGGCGCACAAGTCATCTCGCGTCAAATCTGAATCGAAGCCCGGGAAGTTGTCAAAATAGTCACCCAGCGATGGGGCACCAGAACACCAGCCTGAACGTGCACACCCAACTTTAAACTGTGCGGCAGCAGTTTCTAGTGATGCAGGCCTAGCAGTGCGAGCCACCATTGCATCAGCATGTAGCCATAAAGGAGCTGCCAGGGATGTCTCGTGGGCAGACCGACCACCTTTGAATGAATGTCGAGAAGGCTCTTGCTTTGCCCCCGCAGTATTTTGGAGCAGCGCTTCTGTAACTGCAGCTGAAGTTGGCTTGTGCTTTCGGTGATTTCATATCCGGGAATTGTCATTGTTTTTGGCATGCTGTGCTATTCAGCCAAAGGCCTTCAGCAATTAGGTGCGTCCAACACTGTGAGACCTTTGAGGGAAGCGATTCATGGAGGCAAGTCTCCAAACTTACGGATGACGTGACACCAGCGAAAGTCTTATCCACGTAACTCACTTTCAGACCCCAAACAATCGAAAGATATCTTCACGAGCACTCGAAATCACTTGAGCACCCAGATGGCCGCCGCACCTCGTCTGAAGCCGATGCGAATCCAATTGTTCAGACAGCGGGCATTTTCTCGGGTGAGGGCAGTGTTGTGTCAGTTGGAATGTTCGCTGCTGGAGTCCCCATGTCGGATCAATCTCGCAGTCTGGCTGGAGCAGAGCTGGAGGGAGAGGGCAGGAGCGAGCGTCCTCCAGTCCAGGTCGTTGGGCTTGCCAGTGACCGTGTTCAACCCATACTGACACTCTCGGTGGTTGTCACCCTTCAATTCAAGTGTGGGTACGTTTGGCCTCGCTGCGCCGCCGCGCATCATTGTGCAGATTTCAAGCGAAAGTGGCTGTGACGGCGGGCGTCGCGTGCGACTTGTGGTCGTGCTCCACCTGGCTCTGTTGCACGCTTTCAGCGCGGTCCCTGAGTGCTCTTACCCCAGTCGTGCTTGGGAGCTGACACCCTCCTGGTGTTCAAATGTGTGCAACTTGCAGAAGCTGACACGAAGAAGTAACCATGGGTAATGTGTATGCACATGTACTTGTCCTTATCCGGCAAGATGTTGCAGTGTATTACGAGTGTAGGCCTGTCGAACCCGTCCCATTCCCAAGCTGTTTCCACAGTGTGTCGAAACATTGGGGTAGTTGACCAAAATGCTCTCGCACAACGTCGAACAAACTTCGTACCACTACCACTATGTAAAATTGCTCTTCTTCTCAACGACCTCGCTCGCGTTCACGCACTGAAACACTTTCTGCACCGAGCCGAAGGGATTCATCCCACTCTCCTGTCATTCGCTCGAAATCGTAAACCTGCCCATCAAGCAACATTCGAGACGTGGGGAGCTTGTTCTTGCCACGAAGGTGGGTCCATTCGCTGAGACCGTGAGGGCAACGCGCACCCGGCCTCTTCGCTGGCTTTGCAGCGTGCTGGATCGGCTTTGTACAAGTCGCCAGCAAAGCTATTCTTTGCTGAGCGACTTCTGCATGGCTTCATGCGCGAAGGACCTTGGAGGGAGAGGGACATCCGAGGGCAAACTCATGGTTGAGATACGAGGCCGATGCCGCAGCTGAGACAGCACTTTGGCCATAAAGCCGTTGATGTCGACCTTCAAAAGACTGGAATCTGGGTCGTTGAAGGCAGCAGAGTTTCATCAGTGCGTCTGCCTTGGAATTCTCTGCGGCGATTCCATCTGCACCTGCAAACATGGACTATGACCAGAATTTGCTTCCGCGTGAAAGACTGGAAAGGTCAGCCCCGAGCTGATGGCATCCCCATCCTGCAGCTGCCCATTTGGCAACGTTCCACGAGGCATTGAGGCATGTTCGCTTCTGTTGCAAGCTCGCCTGCATTCCTTCTCGTCGAAAGATGCTCTGCAGAGAGGCGGCCTCCAGGCAGTGAGTTGAACAGTGGAACATAGTGGAACCGAACTCAGAGCTGGCCTGGTGGAAGGAAGCTAGAGACTGTGCCGTAGGCTCGGCCTTGACAGCTCAAGCGGAGAGCTTGCGGATCATCGAACTGCGGGATCCGCACGTTCACTTCAGCTTCGAAGCAGGCCCAAATCTCCTGATGGCTCTGAGGGCTGCAGACAGCTGGAAACGAAAAGTGAAGCTTGTCTGCACACCCGAGTGCATCTGGTCCTCCTCAAGTAACACCTCTCTTCTGAGTCGGACAGAGTCAAACAGCGCACTATAGTCCAAATACCTGCTCGCTCGGGGTTTGGAATCGCGCAAACACGGAAAACAAGCACAACAAGAGCAACCAGCAAGACACATCACCGCGCACGACTCTCCGGGGTGTCGCAGAAAGCGGGCAAAGCACGATCCGATGGCCTGCACATCGGGAGCGTCGTCCAGAGCTGGTTCGAGCCTGACCTGGGGGCGATAACCTCGACGATATCAGAGTGTCCACTATTTTGTAAGACCTGACAAGATGCTCGCTCTAGGGACTCTAAGCATTCGACATTTCGGAGAACTTCAGAATTGTCCCCACTACACGCGCAGGAGCCTGTCGCAGGTCCGCTGATGTGAGGAAGCCGGCTTTCTCTTTGTCCGCCTTTTGACACCTGGAAGATTCTCGTCGCAGGCGCAGGCTGGGAAGAGTTGTGAAGTGCTATCATGCGACCGAACTCCTCAGATTGGTGCTCTCGTTGGACTTGCAACGAGCCCAGGTAGGTCAGCTTGGATGCCAAGCTGTTCGCCACAAAAACCTGACGCTGCAGATGCCGTTTGCAAGGCAGAAAATCGAAGCCACACGAGGCCTCGATGAGCCAAGTCCTGAAGAGGCTGCGCACGCCGCATGCATGTCGCAAATTGTGATGACAAACGACGAGACGATGGCCTGCAAAAGCGTCGTAGGTTCAACGCCTGCAGCAGTTTTTGCTGGTGCCGAGGCTGAGGGAGCCCTCTTTGCAGCTGAGCGTCGAAGGAGGGCAGCATCGAGCCAGACGGTGATGTGTCTGCCAGCTGTCGAATCCATGGGTGCTGCAATGCCTGTGCCAATTCCGTATGGAAGACTTACGACTTACGACTTACGCTTCGACATTTTGTCGATCCGCAGGTGCAGTTTCGCGTACCTGTTGCACTGTCAGCCGCTTTGCCGCGCTTCCGTGCAAACATCTCTGGACGAAGTCCTGCAAAGACGTGTAAATGCACTTGGCCGCTCTTCCTGCAATGCAACTGGTGCTCCTTTGCTTCTTCCGAGATTTTTGACCAGAAAGGCGGATCCTTATCGCAGAATGCTCGCACTCCGGAGGCGCCCATTCAGAATACAACCAGCATCTCAGGAGCAACAGCCAGTAGGTCGCTGACAAACGAGAGGTCCGTCTTCTCAACTCTCGAGATGATGGCATGTCTACAAGGGGCAAAGAATGGTGGGTACCTGGACGACGCGAAACAGCGTGCCGGATCTCTACAGCTGGTCACAACTATGTCACAGCAGCAGGGCTGCTCACCCGCAGAGCAGGAGGAATGCAATTGCTCCCACCTCGCTAAAGTGCGAATACGTTGAGAAGATGTTAAGCTAAAGTCATGGCCCTGCACTCGGTGACAGTACAGTGCAACTTACATTCCAAAAAAGGCGGAGGGATGCCGAACAAGAGCCCAATGCAGGAGAGGAGACGACATTCAGCCAAGGGCCAGACACTCCATGCGTCCGAAGCGGCGAAGTCCCAGCCGAAATCCTTCACTCCAGGACAAACAGAGCTGGACCGCCAATTCCTTCAGAAGATGCTGCCTGTGCGATCTTGTCGTGAGCTTTCTGTGTTTACCGTATGTTCTGCATCTGAGCCACATCACGTTCGTCATGATCTGGAGCATGCAATTTCGTGACTGCGACGCAAAAAACTCAGCCAGTACTCCTATGCAACTGTGACGGCACTTTTATTCAACTACTGCTGCTCTTTTGAGAGGCCCGCAGCACTCGGCATTTTCGCTGATCACTACGTTGGCAGTATACCTGTTGGTGCCTCAAGACAGGTTCCTTTGTAGTCTTTCTCAGCTTCAACGCATCTACATCGCATCTTCGCAGCTTCTTACAACTATTGAATGTCACTATTGTATGCCCATCGATTTTGTTCACCGCCTGCTAAAGCTTTGTCGCTGATCGCATGCTCCGAGCAGCCATCCCATGGCATGCACTGCACACCCCAGACTCGTCTTAGATTAAAGTGCCTGAAGGCAAGAGGAAGAACGGACCGACTTGCGCAACGAGATGGCTGACACGCCGGCATCGAGTACTCGATCAGCGGCGACCAAGAGCTTTCGACTCAACCGGATCTTGCTCCGAACACGGCTGAGTTTTGTTCTGGACGCATAGGGTCTGAACTCAACACAGGTGTAATCAGCTCGACCATGATTCACCCTCTGAGTAGCTACTGTCTCTCAGTATCGTCGATCTTCTGACATGCACAATGCGCGCGACGATGCACGCAGCATCTGAACATGCAGCAGCGAGATCTTGGTTCTCGGGAATCCCGTGAGAACCGGACGGTCCTGCTGCCTGGCCAAATGGGCGTCAATGGCCTCAGGAAGGACGTTTGAGGCAAAGCACGCAAAGCAACATTGCACAGCCGGCACACAAGCATGCAAGCCTCTGATAGTAGATGCAGGTCCAGCATATCCGCAGTCCTCGAAGGCAGCTGCAGGAAAACATGGCCTTCACTCGAGCACATTGCTGCCGAGCTTCTCCCAATCAAGGACGCCTGAACAGATGGCTTTTCCCACATGTGTATACATAAGAGCCATGCGATGCTGGCCCCCGGTAGACTTACCTAATCCTCCTCCCAGCCCAAAATGTTGGTGACATTGACATGCCCCGTCCTCTCACAAATTTTACCTGCCTCCTTCCCCCCCATTTCGGTCAATGGACCAGACAGCTTTTCCTCGTTTTCGCCCTTCACGCCCGCCCGCCCCCACCCCCATTCCCCCGGCGCCCCCCCTCCCCCTTGCCCCCCCCCAATGGTGAGAAGCTGGGCTTCGCCCTTTGTTGACGGACCCGCAGCTTCTCACACCTGCCCCGTGGCTCCGCCCGATCGAGGCGCCCTCGCCACTGTCGAGCCGAGGCGGGCTGCAGAGCATTAGAATTAGTCCTCGCGAGGAGCGGAGGAAAGCTGAGGCGTGCCAGTCAGACGTAAGTCCAGATCGCTTGTACCAAAATCGCCAACGAAAGACAAGCAGAAGTCGAAGAGCGCGCGCGCGCGCGCTCCCACGTTTGGTCCCTGGCCCTCCTGGACGAAGGAGCAGCGTGGAACTTTTGCATCGGAGCTTGCCCGAATCACGAAGGGAGCGGCAGAGCCACGCTGCTTGTCTGCCTCCAAAGGCCGGGGACCGCCAGACCACAACGCGAGAGAACGCGAGCGGATGTGTTCATCAGTGCACAGCTTTGCATGGGTGCCGCGGAGCACGACGACATTGTGGCTGACACCGAGGCGTGTGTGCCGCGAATACACTCAGGCAGCGCACAAACACCAGCAGACTGCGAGTGGCATGGCAGTGAAGCGGGATTCGTTACTCACGGTGGTCCGTACTTGCTTTTCTCTTCCTTCAGCCCACTGTGCTTTACTGGATGTGCACAAAACTCAACACTGCCGCCAGCGCGAGAACACAGACCAGAAGTGTATCCTGTTCAATTGCACTACACGGAACGATCAAAAAGAAAACGCTCCGGACAGCTTTCGGCTTTGATAGTAAAGATCGGCTTGCCTTGCTTCAAGCTCGCGACCGGCAACGGGTTATCCGGCAAGTCCTGCTCCAATCCGACATCTGGCGAGTACGGAAGAGCAAGGTCCAGCAGGGTCACGCGAGTACAGCCTTCAGGTGCTTGAGCACTTCTGGCGCGCAGAAGACCAAGCGGCAGGTCTCCCAATGGTGTCACAAGAGTCACCAGTGCATGCAATTGAATGTTCCGCACCTCGAACAGCTGCGAACAAGCGCTGCGAGGCCAGTGTCGAACATAGCCCTGTGCCAGAGGGGCATTCAATGTCGATGAACCTTTTGCTTGGATTCAACTCGTTTGACTTCGGCTGCACTATGCAACAGCCAGGGCTGGGATTTACAACTCATACAGTACTGACTCATACAGTAGCAATAGCACAGCTCACAAAGAGAGCTGCTCCTGTCCGCTTCCAAGAAATTTCATGATGGCTCATGATGCTTTTGTGCGTTCGGCGGTCTTGGCGCTTCGCTGTGACTGAAGAAGCTGCCTCATCCGGCATGAACAGCTCGCCATGGCCGGACTCCGGTGTCCACTCGTCTAAACACACCTGAAATGGCAACTCGACACCGAACTGCATGCGCCATATTGCGCCACGCGCGTCTCGGTTCCACGAGCCGCCGCAACACGATCCTGCCTTGAGCTCAAGACCAAAATCCACCAGCTTGAGTGGGGCTTGAGTTTGATCGCTCTGAAACCTGGCAGTCCATTGCATCTCACGCCGGTATCGTCACATGCCTGCTTGCGCCTGAAAGACTCGGGCGACAGGTGGCCGTGCGACAGACCAGCTTCGTGAAGTTCACGGAGCGGCTGGCAGGTCAAGAGTAGAGATGGCGGTCAAATCGGCGCCTTATCGAATAGTTGTTGCGGACAGCTCTGTGTACCGATAGCATCCGTCATGCCGGTGTTTTAACCTGTCGCTGGGCACCTCCAGCATGTGCTTGACGAGCATTGCACACTCCTGCTCGGAGAAGACGTTCCGCTGCAAAATGCGCTCTTGCCTGAAGCAGGCTCCAACAAAGGACAGCAGCCTCTTCCGCCTCTTCCTTGAGCAGATCTCAACAGTTCTGCACTGTGCTCCGAACACGGTACCGCCAGTGCAGTGCTCAGTGACCTTTTGCATCGACAGATCGAAGAGAATTTTGGGTGCATTTTGGGAGCCCGGGCTATCGCCATCGACCTGCAGTCTTCGTAGACTGCGAAGATCCTCCGCACACATGGGATGAGGCAGGCTCGAAGCATCTCGAAGCCTCGCACCAGAACGCGCCTGGCAGTTCCCACGAACTCCTGCGTTTGCAGCTGCGCAACGTGTGCCCTGCCAAATGAATCAAATGAGGCGTACCAAACACAGCAAATACCCGACTGCGCGAGCACAAGCAACGGTGCACTGCCTCAGCTTTTCCTGGCGATGTCTGCCACAAGGCTTGCGAAGCGAGCTGAGCCGGTAAACCTCGAAGAATTTCTGAGCACTCAGGCATGCACACTGCCCTCACACCTTTCTGAAACTCGCACCGTTTCACTTTGGTCTGAAACCAGACGAACAGTCGGCAGATCCTCTCACAGGAGGCTGCACAGGCTGAGAAGATCCGGCACACCGAGGGACGCTGCCTGGATGCTACGTTCGTGAACCTCGTAGTGCTCCGTCAGCTTCGTCAGAGGCCTCTTGCATGGTGAGTTCAACTGAGTTCTTAGCAACATCTGGGATCTGCACCAGCTGCGAACTTGACGAGTTGCAGGATTCGCCTCTTGTTCGTAAAGACTTGTTTAAGACTAAGATCTTCGAAACTCCAAATCGCCGGCCTGCCCAGTGGCCTGACTCGATGAACCTCGGCCAGGAGGCCATCACCAGCCACAGCTGCCAGCAGCTTCACGCCTTCTTAGCCTAGCCGCTCTGCAGGCTGATCTTGGCCAAGCCATCAATGTCGATGTCACTGGCTGCCAGTAGCTGAATCCTCGATGTCCAGGCGGAGTCCGCTTTGAAGCTAAGCTCACAGTCAGCATCTCAGAGCCGGGCACCACTCCCTCGCTTGGAGAGCAGAATTGGGCGCCCATGGTGCGAAAGCATTGAGTTTGAATGTGAAGCCTAAAATCAGCCCCAGCCCTGTAGCCACTAGCTTGCTGAGTAGCTCGGGTGTGCTGGAAGTGCCGGGACAATGGAACAAATTCTGCTTACTCGCAGCAAGTCAGGCGGCTGGGATAGTTCGAGTTGCCTACACTGGCTTCCCATCGTATGCCGGACGTAAGCAGCCTGGCGCATCGCGAGTCTTATCCCGATAAAGTTAACTCACCATTGCACCTTCACGTGATAATGCAGCCTGAGACATCTTTCCCGAGCTTCCACATCTACGCATCGACGTAACTCGTGTGAGACGCTGGGATGGTGTTCTTAACAGCATCGCCATCGCACGAATGTCCTCAGTTCTACATTGTCACAGTACACATGCTGCGGTCTGTTAATCTGATGTTCGTCTGGGGTGCATTGACCAAGACGCTGCCCTTGGCCCTCGAAGAGTCGCGGCAACGTCGCACCGGTAGCTGGCGCCTGCAACGATGTGGGCTTGTGACTTGTGCATTCGATAAACTTGCCAAGGGCACCACGAAAGCCCGTGCAAAGCGTCAAAGTCAACACTTGCAAGCAGACCCTTGACTCGCAGAGCCTTGACTCTTTGATATACGGAATCGCTTCCACCCCCCAAGGTACTCCTGCAAGCTCCTCACGAGCTTTCGGGACCAAGCTACGGGTATCTGGTCGCGCCTGCTGCTGCCGGGGACGAGGCGGACCGCCATACTGACCTACATCCGAGGCGGCAGACCCGGCAGAACCACAATCTTGAGTCTTTCAAGCATCTGGCCTGGAGGTGGTCCTTGCGCGTATATGGGCTCCGCCTCCTGACGAGGGCGACGTGTGCTGACCGGTCCGAGACACTGCCACATCATGCAACCACTGGCCTCATCAAAGTCCGAGAACAAAGAATTTGGATACGCCCGGAAGGACCACCACGAAAGCAGTGCACTAAGCAGCATCACGATGGGAAGAGCCACCAATAGGCCCGACCTGTGGACAAGCTCTCCAACTTGCTTCGAAATTGCCCCTAAGTGGAAACCCAAGCACGGCCAAAAGAACGCATCCACTTCAATGACAGCTCTACTATTCAGGGAAGGAGCTGGATATTGTACTTTGTCCTGACTGGCCAGCGAGTAACAAGGACATCAAGATGACGGCAGCTACATAAAACACAGAGACTACTGTGATGCAGCTTTGTCGATCAGAAGCTGAGGGTCCCTTGCGTGTTGTCAAAGAGCGGATGTACCTTAACCTGTGTCTCGTAGGTGACACTGGTTGCATCCTTGCTGGTGATAAGGGTGGTGCTTGAGCTGCGTCCACCCACTACCTGACAGCTCAGAAAAGCTTGTTCATGAATCCTCTGATTATCTCGCTGCGGCCATCGAGCTACCGATGCAGAGAACAACTGCACAACTGGGGGCTCGGCGCTGAAAAGTGTCAAGACGCCAAAAAGCGATTCGAAGCCGGATATCAGTCCAAAAACAAGCAGGCAGTACATCGACATGTTGGCACAGTGGTCCGACACCATGTAATAGACGATGGCCGCCAATATCAGCGTGAAGAACATGCCAAACCCGTCTCCTGCAACAACCTGGAGCACTGCCATCGCTACCAATATCAGGAAGATCCCCCACCAGAAATACGAGTGAAACCTGGGCGAGCTGCAGACGCTGCAGAGTTGCCATGCATGCTACCAAAGCCTAATGCTTTCTTCGCTTGCTTTGCACAGCTCAGCAAATCAAGTTGAGATTGAACAAGTCACAGCTTGGATGCTCACCCCGCATTTCTCTGAGCCAAGCATCTCCTTGACCGCCGCTGGTGGAGGAGCATCTTGTGGGCTTGCACCCACGACTGGAATTACCATAAGAGTCCGATTCCTCAGTGCACAGCTGCAATGGATTATTTTGGATGACTGCCTGGCGCCTGAAGCTCCGTGCATCAGAGCATCTATGAAAAACGAGATCTGTTCGATATCGGAAGACGAAGAAAACACATATCCTCTTCGCCAAAATGGCTGCGGGAATGCGAGAAGGAGAGGGGACAAGCACCCGCGACATGTACGGAAATGCCCGGACAGTGGCCAGCTCAAGCTCAAGAAAGCACGTCCTTTCCCTTTTTGTCTCGAGACGCAGCGCCCTTCGTGTTCGTGCCAGCTGCACGCTCAACCACGGTCACCTGCAAGTGCGCATGTGACAAGCATCGCATACGAGGGACCCCTCGAGTTCTGCTGCCTTGCAGACAGTTGAAGAGAAGTCGCCTCTTGCTAGTCTGCTAGTGGCACTTTAGTGGCATAGCTGAATCCAAAGACACTTTGCTCCTCAGAAGCTGGCCACAGCTTCCGGCGTGCACGAAGGACGAATGCCCCGAGAAGCAGCAGTCCTGCAGGCTACGAGCTTTGACTTTTTCCAGCGGAAGCTTCGAAGCTCCGGGACTCCTGCGGCTCCTTCCACGATCTGAGTCTCAAGTTCGAAGCCCAGCACAGGATCGGGAAGTGGCAGACCACCTGCGGCACTCGACCCAAGCTCTTCCACTGCCTTTAGCAGAGCCGGGCCTGAGGAACTGGTCTCTGCCAGGGAATCTGGCCTAATGGAGTCGGCGCGATTCCAACAGAACCCTGGCCTGGATTTGCAAACATAAGCACCACACAGAGCTGTGGTGAGATCGGTGCCTGAGTACCAAATTTTGTCTTCACGAGAGATCAAGAAAGCATCTCTCACCACTTCTCAACGGCAGAGCACTCAATAAAATCATTGCTTGAACCCTGGTGCGTGTGGTGGTGATGGGCGCTGGTTGCTCCACAGAGCGGGAAGACGGTGCATCTCCTTCGCACAGAGGCGATGTGTTTCACTGAAAAGAACGTGTGATGGGAGGGCTTCTGGAGACCTTTGGCGACGATGAGATTTGCAAGGGTTCTGGAAGCATGGTGCTAATACTGTTCTAATCGCGGCTTTCGCGGATCTTTCGCGAAAAAAACACTCTGGTGTTGAGACTGGCTACACAACTGTACTTGCACCAGCCATGACCTGCTCGCGAGTTTGGTTTGATGACCACTGCGCTCACATGTCGATGATTTGGGATCTAGGGTTTAGGGCCTAGTTCGGCCTGCGGTCTTATGGCTACTTGTGATGATGATGATGATGATGATGATGATGATGATGCTGATGCTGATGATGAGGACGAGGCGGGGAGATGAATGCTCATGTGAACAGCCTGAGCAAGAAAACAAACTAGATTCGACAGGCAGGGCTCATTCATTGCTGCAGGAATCACAAGGGCATTTCTTGAAGGACTTCCACACATTCCGAAAGCTTTACTTGCTCACAGCATGCTGCCCAAAACCCGTTCCTGTAGCGAGTGCAGAAGAGCACCAGAACATACCAGAACCAATGGTATAAATGAAAGCAGGAAGGAACGACTCAGCCCAAAACTTGGAACTCGGCGTCGGCGAGACGAGTCGCGATGGAGCTCTGAGGGCTCCGACCTTGAACGTTCTCAACTTGTCACGAGCGCCAGATGCTCTAGCTGTGGGTCTGCGAACCATCTGTCACCAACGACAATGCATCATGTCCCTTTTGAATTCCACACAGGCATTTCGATAGAGATAAGCTGAGTTTTGTTTAGCAAGAGTCGGGGTGGCAAGCCTGCTCGAACAACATCCGAGCTTGGACAGCTCAATCCGGGACCATGAGCAGGCTGTATGCACGAGCATTGATCCTGAGCACCTCGACCAGCACGGGTGTACAGACAAGCATGCATCAGTGGGGTTTGCAGCCGACAACCATGATGGCACGCAGTTGAGCTTCTGTCGTCATATCAGATCCGCGAGGGCGACGCAGATTCGCTTACGGCTGATCTCAAGACCACGGGGGAGCCGACTCCGAAAGGGAGCAGTGCGGGCAAGAATGTAAGTAGAGGCATGAGCAGTCTTGCGAGTTCCGAGCAGACCAAAACGAAGTCTTTCTGCCCTCGCAGCTCGGGGGGCAAGGAAGTGCGATTGCTTCGACTCGCAAGGGATGTCAAGGGATGTCTCGCAGTGCACTACCCCCACTGACTTCGAACTATTTTTGAGCACCGAAACGGGTGCAGTGCGAGTGGAGCGGCTGACTTCGTTCGATAAGTCTGCAGTCTCCCGAGATAAGAGTGTCGCCGAGTGAGTGTTGAAACCACTCTGAGATGAGAACCCATTAGCTCTCGAATTTGCTTTGGTCAGCCCCAGCCGACCCCTGTCGATGTCGAAGAGCAGTTCCTCCAAAACATCTCAGGGGGTCACGAGGAGGGCCAAAGGGCTACCCATCCTGTCCTGCCCCACCATCCAGGACGCGCCCAAAACGATCTGTGAGCCGTCGGGAAGGGCCTGGGGCACAGCTTCATCTCTCAAGCGAAAGCTCTGGTGTGCATGCTGACGGAATGTCTGGATTTGATCCAGCGACGTTGCTGGGGAGACAACATCACTGCAAGCCAGATACACACTACGCAGACAGCTTTCTTACATCGCCGAGCGTCGGCGCAGAAGGCTGAGGGCGTGGCATTGGTTGCACGAAAAGTATAGCAAAGCCTGGCCCGTCGACTGAGGAAACCGCATCCAGCAGGAACCGCTAAGCCTCAGGCCTCGAAACGCCTGAAGTTTAAAAATCGAAGAGGAACTTGGATTGCCGACAGCCTCACCCGCTTGCCGCTGTAGCGCACAAGGTATCGGCTGGGTGGCCATGGGACCTGCTGTCATAGCGGGGGTTCGGTAGGTCGGTAGGTCGGTGTGACATGGCGTGAACCTGGAACCTCTCTGAGGTTAGAAAATTCCAATTCGTCAGATTCCTCGAATTCGAGATCTCCGAGATTCGTGTTTCGTGTTTCGGCCGGCCTCGAGCCCTTGAAGTCTCCAGGACAGCATCGGAAACCGTTTTGTACCTGCGAGAACTGCACTTCCAGGCAAAGCTGCTGTGGCAACTCAGCCGAAGGGTGCTGATGTCCGCGCCACCTGAGGACACTCAGCTCAGCGCTCCAGTCGGCAAGAGCAGAAAAGAGCCTGCCTCGCACGTGCCAGCAGTGCCTGCTTGCCTCGCCAGCAGCAAGCATATCATATCTTCTTCGCAGTGCATGACAGCGCTTGTCGGACCTCATCACCCGTTGCAGCCGGTGGATCTGCAGGTACACATTGCTGGCCTTTGCAGAAGTCCTCGAACGGCAGCATCCAGTCTTCTCGAACAAGTCTAGCGGGTACGGCGACCAAGCCCGGTCCGCCAAGGCACTCCGCAGTTGCGTCTCAGCCTGCCACGTCAGACTTACAGAGAAGTTACGGAGAGAGGAGAGTGAGGAGAGGAGCTCTCCGCGGCCTCCTTGGGCAAGTAGGTGAAGGTGGAAGCCGAGTCGAGCTGCGCTCGGCCCCTGCAGACCGTATACGCCCATTGACATGCCCAGTGGTGACGACGTGACGACGTGAGTGAGTGCCTAGCCTACAGGGGATGGAGCGTCCGTTGAACATCAAGGCCTCCACCTGCGCGCAGGCAAAATCTGCACACGGAGATGTGGGTCTTTCTGCAGCCGGCGGTCTTTCCTTCTACAGCCAGCGTGAGAGCGCATCACGCACCTTGACTCCATACTTGCCACTTGGTCCGTTGATCTGCAACGGCACCTGAGGTGCGAATGGCATGTGCAGAACGACTGACTTGAAGGCTGAGCTACTGAGCTTGTGGCCCAGTGTCCGACGTGGGTGGTGTCTGCTCCGATGACCAGCTCTCCGCCTCCCAGAGCAGAGCAGAGCAGAGCAGAGCAGAGCAGCAGAGCGGAAAAGCACAGCACGACTCGAAGACTCGGCCTTCGCCTCCCAAGCTCAGGGAAAAGACCTCTCCGCAACACACAGTTGTGCAAAGAAGCACCACAACAAATCTCGTTCCAAGCTTCGCGCCCGGTTTCTTGGTTTGGAGCCGGGTGCCTTGGAAAATCCGAGGCTGCGGCACAAGCCCTGCCTCTCGGTGCGAAGCTCCTTCTTGAAGGCTTGCCAGATCATCGTGGGCTTTGTTGCCGAACCTCATGTGGCCAGAAGGGACGTCCCGCTGTAGACTTTGGGATTTGTCAAGCTTTCACTCTTTCCTCTCCGAGGAACCAGGCGCAAGCCCAAGTATGCCGTTCTGCTGCTGTGCATGGAAAAGTCCCGACTCCTGCCGGGCATTCTTCGGAAGCTGAAAGTCCAAGGGTGGGATGTGGCGATAGCACCACTCAAGTAAGGCTGGCCTTTAGAGCACAGCCCGCTGATGCTGTTAAGGGCTCAGTGCCTGAGTCCGCGAGACGATCAAGTGCAGCGATTTTTCATGTGACACATTGTGCTGCTTGCCTGCAGAGACACATCCTCAACTGCGTCCCCAGCTTCCGTTTGCAGACACAAAACGCAAGCTGTCACGAAACCATCTCCTTGGGCTGAGCCAAGGACGAGGTCCTACGCCGTGCTGGTGACCTCACTGAGACAGACACCCTTGAAGAGAAGATCCTTCCAGATACTTCTCTTGGAAGCTGCATTGATCCTCCGCAACGGCAGGCCAAGAACTGCTCGAAAGCGTGGGAGACGGCATGAACTGAAATCGCCAATCGAGTCCTTCTGACATTTGCCTGGACAGATAGGTCCGCAGCGAATCCAATAGCCGGTCGCGCTCCCAGACAAATTGAAATGAGGATGCAGATGTTTCCCGCAGGCAGAACACCCCGTGCAAGTCAATTCAGTCACCTTAGATTTCGGCATGCCGCTTCATGCTTTGACAGCTAATTGGCAGGTGTGTTTTCAGTGAAGTCTTGGAGCAAGGGCATGAAGGCCCATAGCAGGCTTGTTGGAACATGGCAGAAAAGGATGGGAGGGAAACAAGGAGAAACGGACGACTGAAACGAAGATTGGATGTGCAAAAAGGCTTTTTCGAGATTTCATCCTGGAATCGCAACAGAACAAGCTGATGTAGGGAGCGGTGCTTCCAGGCGACGAAACCGGGCTTTGTTCCAACGCCTTCTGAGTTGACGGCTTAACAAGGCATGCAACATTTCGTTTCATGTGGGACGAACATGCACAAGGTACTGCTGCCGCCGAGTAACCCAGCTTGCAGTATCCACCTGACGACATGCACGTGCTGGCTCTTCAAGGTTTTAGACATAAAGCGGTTCTTGGAGAGACTCACAACCAGTGTTGGATGCGATCCTAGTAGCGATCAGAGACGCGCGCTGCGGCCTGCAAAGGCAAGTCACAAGACACATCTCGGTCATTGCTGCATCTTCAAGAGTCTGCATTCGCTGTGCCTGGGAGATCCCAGCAGCACCTTTTTGCATTCAACCAAACTTGAATGCGGGAAGTGCCAAAACACATCAGTGTGTACAGTAGTGCGTACCTCCGCAAAGTAGACGCCCTCTCGCAAGCTGCCATGCAGCCTTGGCCAGATCCATCGGTTGTAGCCGTTACTGGCAGTAGATCCCCCATCGGCAACCAAAAAAGGCTTTCATGGTTTTCTACGAACTTGTTGCGGCATCGATGATCTGATTGAAACTTCTTGCGGAACCGAGCCCATGACCGTGCGTGCCAAGCTTTGGGCTGGGGGGTCAAGTGCATGGCTGCAAATACCTTATTTGTTTGCAAATGGCGGACGCGGAGACGCATTCCATCAATGATCTGCTGGCTCGGAGCAGGCAAGCAACGCGATTCTGCTTTTTGCGAGAATCAAGCATGCAATAATTCATGACGAGTGAAACCGAAGTGTGTGCAACGACGGAGTTAGGCAGGAGCCCTATTTTGCACGGATCACACCTTTGAGGCTTCTCTTGATCCACGAGCGGATAGCCTGCAAGGACAGCATTGGACAACTGGACCGAAGGAATGCCGTCAAATGCCGTCAGCTTGATCCTGGACGTGCTTCGCGACAAGCTGCCGCTTGATTGACGTCTAAGCGCCGCAAAAGGTGCGGTAGGCACAGCAGAGGTGCTTCATACTGCTCCGTCCCTGCCCAACTGACAAGAAATTCAGCTGCAGGCCCTGCAGACATCTTAGACCTGATTGCGGCTGCAATTCTCTGGTGCAGACACGACGACACTCTCAGACTCTAGCTCTTCCCTTGTGGCGTCCCCTTGCTGAATCGACTGGCTCCTGTTGGGCACCACTGCTTCGACTGGGTTCAGAGGCAGCTGATCTCGAGCCTTTGTCTCTTGTTCTCGCGCTTCTTCTTTTGCAGCTCACGGGCATGAGTGCGCATGAACCTCAAGATGAGTCAATATGATCTTCTAAACGCAGCTACACAGCTAAACAAACAATCACACCTGTTGACTAAATTCGGGAGCCTGTGTCACGTATGCATGTCTGAGGGCAAGGGCAGATCAATCTGCTGCAGCTTGATCTCGGAGATGTAGTTGTTATGGATGCCAAACTGGCCAAGCCGCCACTTCGCAGTCGATTGACTCTATATGTTGGGCTGCACATGTCGCACAAGTTCGTTTGCGAGATTCTCTCTGAGCGAACGATGAGCACTGGCCACACCTCAGTCATCGAAAGGTGCTCCGCCTTCTGCAGAAGCTTCAGAAAAACCTGCCCGACAAACTGGCCACAACTTGCAAGTTAGCAGAAGCTTGAGAGCTGTTTTGAAATATGCTTTTAACCTTAGGAGCTTACTGTAACCGCTGCGACCTTGGTGGTATGACTGCCAGGGCTAAGTCGTAGCGCGAGTTTTTGGGCTTGGCCATGCCTCTGCAGCCTCATCGGTGAAGTAGTTGTCCTGCTTGCAATGGCGCAGCAAGAGCTGGTAGCACTGGAATGTAATATCGCCTCGAAACTGAGCTTGGTGATGAACTTGTTCTGCAAAATGACCTGTCCCCCGCCCCGCTGCCAGCCCACCCCATGCCCTGGCTGAGTGGGGGTTGTGCTGCAGGGCCTCTGCTACGAACTCCATGGCATCATCTCGAATATTATTGCCTCCGGCATTGCATTCTATTAGTTGGAATAGCTTCACCCGTCGTCTGCGTCTGCACAGTGTCCGAAAAAGCACAGCCTGAACAGTCCAACTCTTGCAAGTGGGTGTTCGTCAGCAGGGCCTGGCATAGGGAAAGCTGCACGTATGAGAGGATCCAACTGAATGGGATAGTTCGGCTCTGAATTGAGCGAAAGCCTCAAACAGGTGCTTCACCGCGTCATCCCGCATGCGGTTCACCTCACACCACATGAGGCGAGCAGATGCAGCAGAGTTGCAGACTGCTGCTAGCTGCTGCTAGCTGCTAGCTGGGCAGCGTACTCGGATGTCCAAAGAGCGCAGTCTGCAGTTTTTCCGCAATGCCTGAAAGAGGCAGACGAAACTGAAGCAAGAAAGCTCGAAGCTTTGCCAGCATGCCGGCTGGATCGTGCTTGATTTGCTCCCACAGAGTATCACAAAGAGACAAGCCAGGGGTGTGAACAAACTACTGCCCAACAGTTTGGCTGGCAGATTCGCCGCTCTGCTGGACTTCGTGTTCCAAAGGGCAGGCACCAGACCTGACCTTCAGCACTTCATCTTGCTAGTTCTTGCTTGAGCTATACTTGCTACGCACTAGAGGCTGCAAAGGCTGCACGGAGCCTCCAACCTGTGACTTTGCACGCATCGGAAACTCCGAGTTCCCAGTCCCACGAACCCACGGTCTAAAGCCCAAAGTTTCTGTGCCCTTCCTGGGCCCTGCCTAGCTCGATACGAGTGTCAAGTCGATGACTTCGTGTGTCTTGCAATGTTCACCCAGTAGCCTTGGCGATTGCCTTGCCCCCGATGCTGGTGATTCCGTTTGCGCGCACACCTGGCACATGGCATCTGTCGCAACCACCGCCCATCAACGCCGGCTTCCACCTGAGTGCTGCGCTTAGTTTGGATACCCGGCTGTGGTTGCACAAAGCCTCTCCAGCTGCCCAGGTTCAACCGTTCATGCGTCCGAGAGCGATTATGAGGATAGAGGAAGCAGGGACGGTAGCAAATTTGTGCCTTAGCCAGAGCAACCGCTCCAGGATCTCCAATTTCGTTCAAACCTCATGACGTCGCAAGTGTGCGATCGCAAGAACATTCAGATCAGTCCATATCGCTCACCAAGGCAAAGACCGAGATCTAGATGCCTTAATGTTGGGCACTTCTCGACTGCGCTCCCGATGGCGGCACCCCCATCCTGACTTTCAGGTTTCCGGGATTATAAGCTCCAGGAATGCGGACTCACACCCAAGGAGCGGACTGGCATTAAAGAGTGGACTGGCTGCTCTGCTAAGGAGAGTGATAACAGTGATAACCCTTTTCAGTAGGAAGCTTCTCGGACCATGCAGTGCGGCACCCAGGCCTTCAGGATGTGGTTGTCAAAAAGTCTCAGCTCCTTTAAGGTGCGAGAGGAGGACACGAACCTGACATGCAGTTTGCCTGCTCTTGCCACATCCTTTCGACACTGGCATGCAGTAGGCTCGTAGCGCGTTCCACATGATACATGGTGATACACTTCCGGCACGCGGTGTTGTTCCATACATTGATGGTGAACGCGGAACAAAACAGAGCCATCATAAAACTGTGGGCTTCATGGGCTTCGCGTCTCAGCACAAATACGATGCTCATGACAGCGCTGCGGCAGGATTTCCAGCACTGCTTCAAAAGAATTTCATGGCCGAAGCCCTGGAAGTTCTGGCGTTTGCGAGGTGAGTGATGGTTCGCTTTGCGGCTGCATGAGGCTGCGGGGTTTCCACGATGTTGTCTGCTCACCATACGTTGGCTGCTTCCGAACCTTGAAGCCAGCCAGCGGGGAGGTGCAAGCGAACGCAATAGTGGGCTTCCTGTTTTTGGTTGTGGAGTGCTTGCCTGGAGGGAAGGCTCTGCGACACTGTGACACCGACGAGTGACACCAACCTGTGATATTGCCGAGGGTGCCTGCAACTGGACGATACCCAGGAGGAACCGCAGCAACAACTCAACCCTCCAACGCCGAAGATCAGTTGCAGTACTTTGGCTGAGCACTCGACTCAGCTATCGCTGCGGCACCCGTGTCCTGACGATGGTCAAGACAAGCATGAATGCCAGCGTGCTGGGTCAGACCCTTGTCGCGCTGCACCAACAAGCAGCATCACTGCATCGCTCTGCAAACACGAGCGAGGTGCAAGGATGAATTGCCGTTCTGGCTCGGAGCTACTGCACAGCACAAGCAGCAATGGACGGGTCGATCTTCCCGGAGCTAGTACTCGCACCAAGGTGACAGACAACGTTTCCTGGGTTCAGCTTCACTTCCCGAGACCCTGGCCCCGATGCCATTAGCATCCAGCGTGAGGACTTCGAGCACACCCTGACGTGAATCTAGCAATGAATAGGCTGCAAAGACCTGAGCGATGCAACTATGTCGATACTCCACGTGGAACCTTGGGTTCTTTAGGTCCTCCCTATGCTCGTTTCATTCATGCAACAGCACACTCATTAGGTGCAACAGATCGGCACCTGCTGAGTCAGGGCTTCCGCAACCGCTCCCACGCCGGCATCAGACAAATTGTTGTGCTGGAGGTTCAGGTCCAGAATAACTGCAGGCACGAACCCAGCAAGTATCTCTCCGAACCGGGCAGCGGCAGCCTCCTGCCTCGATTAGTTGACAAGCCTTTGGCCAAAATGATGGCTTCTTCCGGACCGAAGCACACGTGCCTGAAAGCCGCAGCAAAGGAGTCAGCTGCGCTGCCTTGCCCTGCCCTGCCCTGCCCTGCCTGAAGTCGAGCTTGGTGATATGATCTGGCATTTGGAGGGATACCACACATGCAGAAGATCAGATGCAGACAGGATTCATGCTGCCAAAGTCGCTGTTTGTAGAAACATCATTTGACAGAGCTAGAAGCCCGGACCGCGAGATGTTGGCCAGTGAGGCCTCCCGTCGTCTCGTGCGCTTAGGCTACGGATGACTGATCGTCTCCACACTGCCAGCAGGCCTCCTCAACATCCTCATCGATGCGAACATTCAGTCGAACAACCTCGAGAAGCCAGAGGCGAACTGCTGGATGCAGTTATGCTAAGGGAAAGCCTTTGGCGAGAATCCCCTGACCAACTGAGGCTTGTCCTGAACTTCACGCAGCGATTCCTCATGCTTGCGGCACATACATGTTGGGTTATTTGACGGTCCTTCTTGGGGAAGAGGACAATCGGCATGCGACGAGACGCACGCGCATTTACTCTGCTTTGGGGGATACCAAAAGGGAAGTAAGCCGTGACACATGCTGCATGCTTGGTCTTGTAGCCGCCGTCTGCAAGTGCCAGGCATTTTTGTGTAGGTGAGATCAGCAAGTTTTGAGATGCGCTGAGTCCTAAGTCCTAAGCTACTCCGGACAAGAGACGAGCCAAATTTGTCGGCGAAGAGCTGTGACCCACATGCCTTTAGATTGATTGATTGCTTGTTTGCGCATTGCTTGATTGCTTGATTGCTTGATTGATTGATTGACTGCCTGTGGGTGCAAACACCCTTGCATTGGAGTTTCCATGACATGCCATGTAATATAGTTCTGTTGACCTTTAGATGCACGTCAGGGCCCTGTTGTTCAAACTCGCACAGACGCTCTGCGAGTGTGGAGCCATGAATCGACACAGAACTGAGAACAATTTTCCGCCTGTTCGGTCACCCTGCAGCCCTGGAAAGAGAATCCCAGATTTCTGACCGCACAACAAGGCAAGAGGGCGAGCAGTGGCAACACATTGAGCTCAACGGTAATCACCTTCGTTGTGCAAACGGCCATGCACTGAGGTCTCATCTAGCCGATTTGCGCGTCGGACACACAGCGGTCCCACGTGCTACCTCGCGCAGGCACGGCGTGGTGCCCCGAACCCACTTTTCTGCCCTTAAGCCCTCATCTCGCCGACTGCTTGCAAAGCTTTGTTGCAGCTTAAACGGCTGTTCCAAGAAAACACCACTTGATGAACACGAGCGGTCTTCATGCTGTCTGCTGATTTCCGACCCACTCCTGTCAACATAGAGATCCAGCAGAGAAATCAAAATGAGGACGTAGACAACGTAAATGCAGGGAATACTCGAGACATGGGCAAAGCCACCTCGAACTTCTTCCCTCTGGCATGCAGATATTCCACACCCTCGACTTCTTCAAGGAGGAACCATGGCCTCGTTCTCCCGCTCGTGTCGTTGGTCAACATGACATGACAGGGCGCGTTGATGCTACTCTGAGGTCACGACAAACCGTCAGGCTCTCCGAAATCCAAGCCAACCGATCCACCCACAACCCCCAAGCATAGGGCCTTAGCAACCATTCTCAGGTCTTGCAACTGGAAACATTTTGACATAATCGTGCACAATCTACCCACTTTCCACTCCATTTCGGATCAAGTAGCGGCAATGGAATCAACGTCACCGCCGATGTCGACCGATGCCCTCGCAAAGATTCTAGATTGAATTTGAATCATTGAGTTTCATTAACTCCACTTGGCAAACATAATTCCCAAACCCCCCGATTGTGTTCGGCTCGTTCAAACATCATCGAAATTGGAGCCGCACTATGCGAAACTGGCTTCGCCCCCACTGAACTGACTGACGCAGAAAAGTGCAGCCCATTTCAAGGGGGGGGTCGGAACCGTCACAATCCACAGAGGCCGACCCGCAACAAACGGCAGGTCTGGGTGATGCTGGCCAGCCGCTGATCTCTCCGAGTCATCGGAGAAGTAAGCTAGCCCACATGAGCGAACACTCCTCATGCAGATGCCCAGCCCAACACCACACAACAGGATTCCAACAGACATGCAGCACGGAGGCAGCGCCAGCAGTGCGGAATCTTTTGCGGATGAGGATGTATGCGGAAATTCACCCAGTTTGGCGAATATCGGAGCACTGCATCACTCTTTCATTCAATTTCCATATAATATATGTATATATATATATATATATGTATGTCCAATGTATGATCGCAGTTCTCGGTTCGCCGACCACGCCCGCTCCCCCCGCCCCGCTCCAGATGCCGCACGCCGGGTCCAAACATGAATCCCTGTGACTGCACGCACATCCCCCACTTAGCGGTTCCAAAACCGTCAACTGTCACGAGGATCACGTCCTAAACATACACGATCCTTGTGACAAAGGACACTTTCCAACCACGACTGCGATGACAGGGCTGGCCGGTTCCTGTGATAAACATCGGACTCCATAGAATCGCTCGTGCCCTTCCTTTTCCAGAGATGCACAGTCCTGGCCCTGAGTCGTTGGATATAAAAGTCGGGCCGGAATGTCAAAGCTGAACTGTATGTGCATGATGCTTTGCCACAAGGCACGACCCCCGTCAGATTCTTCATCGGGAGGGTCGGGTGGGGAATTTCAAGAACTGGTGCTCTCTTTCAGCCGCAATGGCTGAGTGCACCCATGTCTACATGTTTATAAGAGCAAGCACACCCTACCCAACCATCCATGTAGCTTGCAACTTCATAAACATCGGACTCCATAGAATCGCTCGTGCCCTTCCTTTTCCAGAGATGCACAGTCATGGCCCTGAGTCGTTGGATATAAAAGTCGGGCCGGAATGTCAAAGCTGAACTGT